AAAGTATTATAATGGAATGTGCAGAGAGTTGGAGAATTAAAAGGGAAGAACTCACTCTGCATTTCTCAATCTGAAGGGACTGAAAAACAAATTTAAGCCTTGTGTTGCAATGCTGAAAGGTGCTATGGGCAATATATTGAATAACCCAGAAAGCATCAAAAGAAGATGGAGGGAATACACAGAGTCACTGTACCAGAAAGAATTTATTGACACTGAAAAATTTCAGGAAGTACTATCTGAACAGGAGCCAAAGGAAATGAAAGAGGAAGTTGAAGCTGCATTGAAGGCACTGACAAAAAATAAGTCCCAGAAATTGATGGGATACTGATTACCTTATTTTGATTAACAGATGCAGCCATGGATGCACTCACCAGTCTATGCCAGGAAATTTGGAGGATGGCTGACTGGCCAATGGATTGGAAGAGGTCCATATTTGTTTTCATTACCAAGAAACGTGATTCAACTGAATTTGGTGTATGCTGGGGATGTGTCCTATTTCCATAATTTTTCAATCTATATGTGGAACAGATTATCTAGGAGTCTTGGCTCTGTGAGGAGAAATGTGGCATCAGGATTGGAGGTAAATTCGTCAACGATATGGGTTATACAGATGACACAACCCTGCTTACTGAAACTGAGGAGGACCTGAAGCCTTTCCTGCCGAAGGTCAAGTACTGCATCCTTCAGTACAGATTGAAGCTCAACATCAAGAAAACAAAGATTCTTACTACTGGGTCACGCCAGCATCATGATGGATGATGAAGAAATTGATAGTGTTAACTGGTTTAGTTTGCTTGGTTCCACAGTCAACACTCTTGGTATCAGCAGCCAAGATATAAAAAGATGAATTACATTGGGAAAGTCTACTGTCAGATACTTCTCCAAAGTACTGGAGAGCAACAATGTCAGTTTGGAGACTAAGGTGTGCCTGATACAGGCCATGGTCTTTTCATGTAATTCCTATGCATCAGAAAGCTGAACAATGACTAGGGATAATAGATGGAGAGTTGATGTCTTTGAACTGTCGTGCTGGAGAATAGTATTGAATATACCATGGACTGCTAGGAAAACAAACAAGTTCATATTAGAGAGGGTGAGACCAGGTTGCTCCTTGGAGGCTAGGATTTTGAAGCTTAGTCTGACATACTTTGGACATGTTGCAAGGAGAGACCAGTCCTTAGAGAGGAACATCATGCTTGGGAGGGTGGAGGGACAGTGCAAGAGTGGAAGACCCTCGATGAAATGGGTTGACTCAGTGACTGGGGTAATGGAGGTAGGTGTGATTGCACAGGATAGAGCCGAATTTAGAGCTCATGTACATAGAGTTACTATGAGTCACAGGTGACTCAAACACACATGACAACAACAAAAACAATTATTGATAGCACATGTAAGCCAACTACTGCCAAAGAACACTAAAAAATGGTTAAAACATTACAAAGATAGGGATTGCCAGAAGTTCAAGCAGGGTTTAGAAGAGGCTTTGGCATCAGGGATATCAATGCTGATGTCAGATGGGTCCTGGCTGAAAGTAAGGAACCTACACAACAGTAACAACAAACTTTCAAGTTCTTTTCTCAAATGAAATGTGTATTACTCTAAAGTAAGTATGTTAAAGCACTTTTGCAGCTATCTTATTGATTCTATAAAGTTAACTAAAATGAATAATTTTGCAATCCTTTGCCACGCAACACATAGAAACCTAGTCTTCCTAGTACAGGGGGTGAGAAATAGCGCATGAACCAAATGTTTGCACAGCACGTATAAAACATCATGCTGGGATTAGTGATTTTATGCTTTTTGTTGTTGTTGTTGTTGTTGTCATTACTGAGACCTCTGGAAATGAAAGTATATTCTCAGTTCTTTCAGACCATGATTTGGGTGATTCCTTGCAGATTTTGGCTGTTTCTTGATGTAGTTTTTGTTTCTAAAATCACCGTATCTTATGTTAATTTTTTTTCTATGAGCATCCAAATATGTACAAATTCTGTGCATTATTTGAGAAATGTTAGTTATATGCAATTTCAGACCTGATGTACTTTCATGTTGCGTATTCTACATTATAGCCATAACTAATAATTCAAGTAATGCGTTGAGGGCTGATAATTCATTACTGAAACTAGTGCTGGAGACCAGTGGCCTAACAGAAATGTTTCTTCTTGTATTTCTTTACCAAGATGAAGTGGCTTGTAAAACACTGTGTTTTGGACTGTTACCGATCTTGTGATGAAAGCTAATGAATTTAAGCCCTATTATGCCAAAGACATACTTTAGGTTCAATAGCAGAGCCACAAAATTGGATTTTAGATTCTATATTAAATTTTAATACTGCAGTCTCAGCAAAGCATTTGAATTCTGCATCATATGTCAGAAAGAATGTCAGGAAAGCACAGCATTTACTCTCTTATTTCCTCTTGTTGCAATGACAACACTCTCTCAAGATCTTTTTATGTTTACATTGTATGTGTTTGTTATTTACGTATATGGCTTTGAATCCAGAGACATTGTTACTCAGTAACACATTTTTGTGTAGAATTATTTTCTCCTTGGCCTCTATGGGCAAGATCATTGCTGAAGTTTAAAAGTCTTATCAAATGAATGTGGATTCAGATATGCCAGGATATGTTAAGTTCTAGACTTAACAAGTTCAGTATTCTCTTCTACAGCAAATATTTATTTAGCAATAGACTTTGAGATACATTTTGTGTCAAATTGAAAAATGATTGCCTCACCAGATGGGGATAGTACTTTGCATTTGCCCTCTACTGCAAATAATCTTTCTGTAGAACCAGCAGAAAAATCACTCTACCTTTTCTCTAGTTTCCATTAATCAGTGTCACAGTCTCTAATACTTTATAGAAAGATATCTTTATTTTTCTCTTTCCAGGGAACCTTTTGTGAGAGTGTGAAAGCAAACCAATTTATTCTAGAACACTTTAAAAAAAAGTTTGTCACTGCTGTTGATTTGGAGCCTCTCTAAATCACAGAGGAGAAGCTTGTTCTGCTCTCCTTCACTGTGGCTGGTGGATTCAAACCACTAGAAAATGGAAAGAGCCTTTTTTATTATCAGAATATTTGAAGATATATATTAAAAATTCAGTCATGTAATGGTATTTCTATATTTTTCCTTCTCTTCTTTTTGTTGTTGTTTTAATGGGAATTTGGGAGTTTTCAGGCCTCTCTTTAGCCCCATAATCAGGTTTTTAACTCAAACAAGAAAGCAAGTTATCTTCCAATGATAAGGTACCTCGTAAAATTACGAGGGAAAACCTTGACACTATTTTCACTGTTTTAACTGAGCTTAAATGAAATGCAAAAATTCAGTATACATACGGGCTTTTGAAGTTAGGTAAAGACCATATAATGATTTCAGGTAAAGATAATAAGACTAAATTGATGCAATTTTTTTCCATAGCTTGTCCTTTAAAATATCCTATAAAATTATCCAACTGTCTCTCTTTTGCCTGTAAATGTGGAGGCCACAAATCCACATGGGGGCATGGGATCTGCTGGAAGCCTGAGTCTCAGAGTCACTCTCAGGGAAAAAAAATGTCCAGCAAGCAGCATGACCAGCATTAGAATGCAACAGAAGCCACGTGAAGGTATATAAATACATATGTAGGCAATGATTTTGTTAATAGGAAATGTTAAGAATCTACAGGAAGAAAATATTAAGAGCTCCAGGTAAAGACTAAACATTATAAATGCAATAGTTTCTCTCCAAGTCATATATAATTTAATTCAATTCCTATCAGGATCTGTGTTTTCATTTTGTTTTGTTTTGTTTTTTTCTGAAGCACTGATTCAAGCTATTATGAAGATCTTTGGGGACAAATGTGCATTAAAACCTCAGGGGGGGAAAAGCAGCAACAAAAGGAAAGTAGAGGGGGAAAGTCTATCTAGTACAAGTCGTGGTGATAACAGGCTCAGAAATGAGCAGAAGCGGGGAAAAAACATAGTTCAACTAGAATATTTCTCCCACCTTCTCTTAGGTCAGGTCACTTGTATTCTTTAAATGTAAAGAAGTGAACAAGGGAAATACAGTGAAAGACAACGTTAGTGTTCAACAAATGTGCATGGGCTGTATTGTCCTACAAACCAAAAGTCTGAAGTTCAAATCCACTAGATGCTCCTGAGAGAAATATAGACAGTCTCTCTCATTTCAATTTAAAGCTTCATGAACCTAATGGAGGGTTGCTGGGAGCCGGAATCAATTCAATGGCACAGGGTTTGGCTTTGTGAAGTAGGGTAAAGACCATATAATGACTTCAGGTCAAGATAGTAAGCTCCATTTGATATAACTTTGTTTCCATAGCTTGTCCTCTAAAATACCCAACAAAATTGACCAATCTTCTCTCCGCTTTGTCTGTGAATGTGGAGGCCACATAATCCAAACAGGGGCTTGAGATCTGCAGGCAAGCAGCATGGCCAACATTAGACAGCAACCGGAGCCACCTGAAGATATGTAAATACACGTACAGGCAAGGATTCTGAAGCTCCATCTGACATACTTTAGGTGTGTTGCTAAGGAGGGACCAGTTCTTGCAGAAAGACATGCTTAGAAGGGTGGATAAACAATGCAAGAGAGGAAGACCCTGGATGAGATGGATTGACTCAGTGTTTGGGATAATAGGTGTGTCAGAGACAGTGAGACTGGCTCAGGATAGAGCAGGGTTCAGAGCTGCTGTACAAAGGTCACTATGAGTCTCAAGTGACTAGACGGCATATAACAACAACAATAGAGAATAACAGGCAATGAACTATTAAATATGAAGTGTCAATATATTCTTGCCTGACACAATTTTACCTTAACTTTGATTTATAATTCAACTTTTAAAAATTATTTTAAAAGGAAGTCACAATATACTTTGAAGAAGGAAAAAGTGAACAGGGTCAAATCTCCAATTACTCATAAATTATCTAGATAAGAAATAGTAAAAATAATTCCCCAACTCCCAAAAAGGTGATCTGATTGATAGTCTTGGCTTCTCTTTTTTCAGGTCTTCCAGGGCAACTTTGACAATGACACACACAGAAAAAACGTCATTGACCCTCCCATCTATGCACGACTCATCAGGATCCTGCCTTGGTCCTGGTATGGGAGGATCACGCTTCGATCCGAGCTGCTGGGATGCACAGAGGAGGAGTGAGGAGCCTCTTCTCCACAGCCCTCTTATGCCCCTAACAGTATCTCCATGGAATGAACTCTGCAACATCTGTTGGAAAAATGAAAATGGCTTTTTGTTTGTTTGTTTTCATGGAAAAGTGCTCAATTTCTGGTGGGCCACTGTCTTTAGGGAGGTCTAAGCCTGCCTTTTCAGTGCTTCAATTTTATTTTTTATTGTTTAAATTACTTTGCTAACATCACATTATTGAATTACTTTTTTCATTGTTTTCTGAGTGATTCACACTGGTTGAAATATATTGGGGGAAGTAAGTGGTATTCATTTTGTAGGAAGGATAAAGAGAAATCACATAGTTCTTAAATAAGAAGAGTTGATAGAGCTTTTGTAATGAATACTTAACCAATTCTTATAAAAGGAATACTGCAAAGTTAGCAATAAGGGTTTGTTGTGTTTTTCACCCACTGTAATGAGTCTCCGTTACCCTGTTTCCCTGTGCCTGCTAAACACTGTCAGCGTTTATATCAGAATTTTGAAGAACCGCCTGTAATATCTAATTCTTACTGCTAATCCTTCTTTTACTTTTATTATTTCTGATCAAAGTTTATTCATATGTGGGGTTTTTATTATTCTACTCTATATTATATGTTGCTTGAATAAGTATGGTTTTCAGTTGAACTTTTTCTATTATTGATCTTTAAAATGGCCATGTGTGTTACTATATGTCTAAAACATAATTGAATATTTATAGATAGATCTTTATTTATCATAAGTAAATTGAATAAGTAACTTTATGTTTGAAGAAAGCTGTACCTATGTAATTTCCAAAAACTTAATTTACAAGTAATCACATCATACTGTTTGACAAAATAATAAGCAAAAGAATATGGGTTAAGTAATTTTAAAGCTAAATTCAGACCTTTGAATTTTACATGGCCCTTCCTTCCTTTAAAATAACAAAATCACAAATTGTATTTTTTTTTCTTCACCAGTGAATACTAACATAATGCTGCATAGCATGGCCAGACATACTCATACTTCCTTTGTTCAACTCTGAATTTCCTGTAAAACAAAACCTATATTTGAGACTTGAATGTAGGAGTGGTTTTCTAGGAAAGCCCATTCTATAGTTATCTGTGGGTAGAAAGGTATTCTCTAATGGCAAAGTAGATAAACCATATTCAGGACAGAAATTGATTTCTGTTTATTTTGCTTCAAAAGTCCTAAGAACATAAATAATATTACAGCAATTAGTTGTGGATAATGGCGGTTGCATTGACATGTCATTCAAATTAAAGCTTATACTGCTTCCATGCAAGTCCACCGTGTAAATTTTATTTTTTAGAAAAGTCCAGCATCTAATTCTATGTTTTACGCGTATTTAACAAGTATTTCTTTCATAAGGCTTAGACAAAGAATAATCAGAATTTGAAATAAGGATCCTGGAAAGAGTAGTATGTGTATGAAATGTTGAAGTCACATGCAACATCACTAAATTGTTTAATTTTGTTGTGCTGCATAATAAAAGCCACTACACTGTTACTGTCCTGTCTGTCCACGTGCTATCCACATTTCTTAATAATGTATATATGGAGTGGTCACCAGTCATAGTGAAGAATTTAAAGAGAAAGTCGATCAGAATGGCGTTTTTTTTTCTCTAAGGGAAATATTAAGTTGGTTTTAAAGGAAAGATTTTGTCTTTTGCCAATACGCTTTCTCCTTCATAGTCTTCTTATGAAACTGTTGGTCTGAAACATATAAAATAGTAATCAGTTTTTGGCACCTTTCAAAAATAGAATCACCATGTTTTTAATTTAGCTTTTTTTTAGAAAGCTAAAATTAGCAAATGTGAATGTTTTATTGGCTAGTTTTAGACTCATGTTACAAATATTTAAGGTCTAGCTATTGGTGGTAATTTCTTTCAAGGTTTAAAACTTCATCACTATCTCATCAAATTTTAGTCACTTTCCTTTTCAGGTCAGTATGAATAGTAAGGTTTAGAAATTATGCATAATGCTTTTTGGTGACTTACTTTTTCAAAATTATTCATTGCTTCATATGCTCTTTTCAATTTTTTTATTTACAGCTTTTTAAAAAGAGATTATTTTCCAAAGAAATTACTTAAAATTATATTTGTTAACTTTTAGGAATACATTGAAATGGCTTTCTCTTGTGTGCACATATTCTCTGCTCTGTATGCCATTCCCCTAGATGTCAGGTAAACTAGGATGCCCATACTGTCATGAGATATCTAAAATTCATGACAACAAAGTGATTATCACATGTGGAAAGGGTGAAAAATATTGTCAAGTATTTGGTAGCCTAAATGTTGCCTGTATCAATGTCACCAAACTAAAATAATGTATTCTACTCTAATTCACACTAAATCAAAATCACAAACCAGAACATATAGAAGAGGCATCCAGTATTCACCATATTGAGTCACTATAATATACTAATTTTATACTGAGAAATAAAGTTTAAATGTCTTCACTTTTTTATGTCATATTAAAAACATTTATTGAAATCAATAATGGTTATGTTAGGGTTGACTTTCTCTTTATGAATGACTTCATAAGGATTAGTGTGAATTTTGATGACTTGGAGTACTAAATTGTATCTTTGCTAGTCAACAAGTTAAATCTAATATTTAATGCTAGCATCTGATGCATCAGTAGGACAAAAATAACTAAGACACAAGTAACCTTTGCAATCTTTCAAGCTGTGTAATATTCCAATGTTGGGTTTTGGGCTTTTTTTTTCTTTTTCTTTGTGTATATATATACTTAAATCATGTAGAATGTTGTAAAATCAGTATGACCTTGTCTAGTCTTCAAACTTAAAATAAAACTTTTGAAAATCTAGAATGCTTTTGAAGCAGTTGTAATTAAAAACACTTGTAATAATACATAAATTGTTTGAATGTGTGTGCCCATCACTGATGATTACATTTTGGTTTTAGGTTTTGGGTTGGTTATATGTATAAACTCAAAACACTCATTGCCATGAAGTTGGACCCACAACTGACCCTACAGTGCTTGAAAATTGGACTAGAGAAAAAATGGCTGTCTTTATCTCATGGAGCTGCTGGTAATTTATCTATCTATCTATAGCTGTATCTAGATCTAAACCTACATATACATATAGATCTATATCTAGATGTAGATAGATAGATAGATAGATAGATAGATAGATAGATAGATAGATGATAGATAGATGGATAGATAGATAGATAGATGATAGATAGTTATGAAGGAAGTTCAAGCGGCTTTGAAGGATTTGAGGGGGAAAAAGCCCCTGGAAATGAGGGTACACCAATTGACATATTTCAACTAACAGATGATACCCTGGATATGCTCACCAAGTTGTGTCAAGAAATCTGGAGGACAACCACCTGGTAAACTGATTGGAAGAGATTGTTCCCATTTCAAAGAAAGGTGATCCAACAGAGTGTGAAAATTACCAAACAATATCGTTGATATCACATGAAAGCAAAATTCTGCTGAAGATTATCCAAAAACGACTGGAACAGCACACCAGCCAAGAACTGCCAAAAGTCCAAGCTGGTTTTAGAAGGGGTGGTGTTACTAGGGATATTGTAGTTAATGTTAGATGGATCTTGGCTGAAAGCAGGGAATACCAGAGGAATGTCTTTATCTGTGTTTCATTGACTATGCAAAGGCGTTTGACTGTGTGGATCACAACAAACCGTGGCTGATGAGAATCCCAGAGCATTTGATTGTGCCTTTGTGAAACCTATCCTTAAACCAAGAGGCAGTCGTCAAAACAGAGCAAGGAGACACTGCATGGTTCAAAATTGGGAAGGGTGTACGCCAGGGATGTGTCTTATCTTCATACTTTTACAATCTATACTTTCATTAAAATTAATAAAATAAAATTTAGAAAAACAATCTATATGGAAAACAGATTATCCAGGAGGCTGGGCTCGATGAGGAGAAATATGGCGTCAAGATAAGAGAAAGATTTATCAACAATTTGCGTTATGCATATGACACAGTTCTGCTTGCTGAAACTGAGGAGGACCTGAAGCACTTGCTGCAGAAGGTCAAGGACTGTAGCTTTCAAACAGATTAAGGCTCATCTTCAAGGAGAAAGAAAGATTCTCACTACTGGGCCAATTGGCAGCATCAGGATGGATGTGAAGAGATTGAGATTGTTAACAGTTTTAGTTTGCTTGGCTCCACAGTCAACACTCTTGGCACCAGCAGCCAGCAAATTAAAAGACATATTGCGATGTGAAAGTCTGCTCTTAGGAATCTCTCCAAAGTACTGAAGAGCAATAGTGTCACTCTGGAGAATAAGGTGTTCCTGATACAGGCTATGTTCTTTGCAATCACTTGCTATGCATAAGAGTCCTCGACAATGACTAGGGAGGGTAGAAGGAGAATTGATGCCTTTGAACTGTGGTGTTGGAGAAGAGCATTGAATATACCATGGACTGCTAAAAAAACGAGCGGGTTCATCCTCGAGAGGGTTAAACCAGGCTGCTCCTTGGATGCAAGGATTCTTAAGCTTCATCTGACATACTTTAGACATTTTTCAAGGAGGAGCCTGTCTATGGAGAAGGACGTCATGCTTAGGTGGGTGGAGAGAAAGCACAGGAGAGGAAGACCTTCTATGAGGTGATTTGATTTAGTGACTGGGATAATCAGGGTAGGTGTGTCAGAGACAGTGAGATTGGCACAGTATAGAGTAGGGTTTAGAGCTGTTGTACACAGAATCGCTGTCAGTGGCAGATGACTGGACAGCACATAACAACAACAGCAATATAAATAAAACTACTGAGCACAAATAGGGAAAAAATATAATACCCTGTAACATTTTTTTTAAAATTATCAAATGTATACATTCTTTCATTGCTTTTGACAATAAAATTTTTCCCAGACTACTATACGAGGAGCAGATGCAACTTTGTGGTGGCCAAATCTGAATTCTATTTGCTTCATAAGAGGGAACTGTCCCATCTATAATATCCATTGTTGTTATTGTTGTGTGCCATCAAGTCACTGTGACTCAAAGCAACCCTATGTACAAAAGCTCTGAAGCCTGCTCTATCTTCAGCCAACCTCATTGTGTCTGATATACCTAACCCACATCAATCATATTATCCTGTCTTCCTCTCTTGTGCTGTCCTTCCATGTTCCAAGCATGATGCCCTCACTGGTACTTCTTTGCAACATGCCCAAAATATGTCAGATGAAGCTTCAAAATCCTTTTCTTCAAGGAGAATCCTAGTTTTACCCTCTCCAGGATGAACTTGTTTGTTCTCCTAACAGTCCTTGGTATATTCATCACTCTTCTCCCAGCACACAAATCAAAGGCATCAGTTCTCTTACTATCATCCTTAGTCACTGTCCAGCTCTCTGATGCATAGCTAGCTAGTAATTGCAAAGACCATGGCATGCATCAGGTGCACATTACTCTAGACTGACATCATTGTTCTTCAATACTCTGGAGAGGTTCCTGACAGCAGATATTCCCACTCCAATTAATCTTTGATTTCCTGACTGCTGTTAGCA